ACATTGTAGGACTATAGTCCCATCAGAATATTTTGATAAACACATTGATACAACAAAACTGATAGAGATTGACAGGACTAAAGTCTTTACATGGCACAGATTAAATTCATACCGGTTTTCAATATTTGGACACATTACATTGATGACATTGACATTAGCAAATTATACATTGTATATATACAGTGGAAGTGAAGGCATCAACTGTTTTCTCAATAAGAGGTATAACTTGATATATGGAAAGTTTTAAATAAAACTATTGCGAGCAAACAAGGAAACATCTTTGGTTATAAAACTCCTTCATGCATTCATAAGGTCAATTATGACCAGCTTGTTAATGAACTGTGGGAAACTGATCTTACTAAAGATGACAAAAACACACTAGGAACCATCACCTGTGGAATGCTATAAACATCACACACACCGCACAGAAGAGTTACTGTTTTAACACTTTGAGGGAGGCATGCCGTTGCCAGAGTGAGTTTGGAGGAAGGATTTATGCCATACAACAAGAAATATAAACAGAAGAATAAACATACATGCAATACCTATTCCATCTAAAACACCACCAATAGAAATATATTAGTCAATGGTCTTAGAGATACAAACGGGTTACTACTTCAATATCATGACTTTTCAATGTATGAAGCATATAATAAGCTTTCAGAAAATGATATTAAGGCCTATTCAGTGAAGAGTGATGCCTTCACGATCCATAAAGACAATTTGACTTGAGTGATGGGCAAACCAAATCATTTTATCAGACTGGAATATTGATATGATATGATCAATTGTCATGCACACAAATAGTTCTGTAAATTTACGTGTTACCCTGTGATATTCACAATTATAAAACATGCAGGTCAATGTTCCGGTTGCGCAAACCCAATGTTTGTGACTGTCACAAATATAGAATTTTAAATTCCAATTTTGAGTTGTTTAAATGTAATGTCACAGTGTAACAAAGAACCAAGAACTCATATAATCAGTTGTATTCATCAATTATCATACGTGCATTTGCACTGGGTGCAACTGACAGTATGAATTGGAGTGCTCATATATAAAATTGTTCACTGTCATGTACACAATTTCTTCTGTACATTGTTATGTTTCTTTTTGTGGGGTCTTCACACTTGTGCACCATGAAATTATACAATACTTTGAATTGCAAGTCCAATGTAACAAATTGAGTTGACAATTTTGAAATTCAAATGATCAATTATATCCATTAATTACTATATTTGCAATTGCACATTGCATTAGATACTACTAACAAAATGAATTGGAATGTATCGCAAAAGGTGTGCATTGGTGGGGGGGGTAGCTTTTATATTTCCCCAGATAGCGATAGCTATAGGGATTCTTACTTCCCAATGACTGGGCGCCTGCTTGAAATAGTTGCTATCTGGGGGTCACGCTGCCGGTGTAATTTTATTATCTCAGACTTTCGATATAGGAGACCTCACCGAAGATCGACCAAAGCCTGCACCCCAAGAAGGCGTCTGCTTTGTGCAGTCCGTTCTTTGAACGCTCGTGGAATGCGTGTTTGTTTGTTTTCTTTGCAAGTTTTGTCTGCCCTTTTCATTCTTTTTGCTTGATCGGATTGCTCAGAGATGGAGAGATGGAGAGTGAAAGCTCTCAAAGCGATAGACCAAGCTCACTAAGCTCACCGGTTTGAGGGACAAGCTTGTTTAGAAGCCTGTGAGATGGCTCAACAGCTTGTTTAGAAGCCTTCTTTTTTGTGGATGTCACACTTTTCAGAGCTTTTTTCAGGCGGCGCCCACCAAATACCAGGCGCGGGCGGAGGCTGCAGAGGCTGAACTGGCAAGGGAGGGCTGCTGGATCAGCGAAAACGTCGCAACGTCCCAACGCAGCTGACCAGTACACACAAAAAACCGAATCGGTGGTGTATCCCAGTCAACCTCAGTCTACCCCAGTCGGTGGCCGTCGGTGAAAGAAGAGGATCACTCTCTTGGGATTTGCGGTCTGCAGCATCCACTGGGCCGAAACGGGACATACCATACCCGACTGATGATATTTCAAGCCTCCATGTCTGCAGGGGTTCTATCAATCAAGATTCTACATTTGCCGGTTGAAGCTCCCCAAAGAATGGTCGATCCAAACTGCAGGTTCACATGGGTCACTTTTTGCCGAGCTAAAGGCTCATGTTGGCAAGCCGGGATCTCCTTCGGCCGCCAACAAAACATCAACAACCTTAAACCCCACATCCTTGTCCTTTGGGATTCTTTTTTATATCTGCCCGTTCATGTCAGAGATGCCTCTCCAAACGTTCTGCAGGGTCATAGATAGGTTACCCGCTGGCCGATCTTTAAAACACATCAACGCGATGAGCAGCGGCAGAAGTCGGCGATGCAGCAGCTGGTGTTTTGCTCCAAGTCTGCTGCTCCAGATCCTGTACTGATCCCAGTCTTTACCTCCTTTGGATGACCGCCATGGGCAAGTTCGAACGGAGTAAACAACCCGGGACGTTTAATCGGGAAGAGTGACAACGTCCAACATGTGTCGTTTTGTCGTTTTTGATGTTTTAACCCTAGAGCTCCTGGCCCACATCCTCAGAAGGTAGACTCAGACCCCTCTGGCACCCACCCCAACCAGCATACTTGTACCTCAGGAGGTGGGCCAGCAGCCCTAGCTTAATGGATGCCGAGTTCCATTGCCCCGGCATCACACGGTGGTGAAGCCGCCAGGGGAAGAGCCTCCTCGCCCTGGCAGAAGCCAAAGTTCTCGAGAAAGGTCGGTTTGGCCGACGTGGGACCTGGACGTGTGGGGGGAAACCTTTGCAACACCACCCTCCAATGGTTTGATGTTCTTAATTTGTTTGGTCCACATTCGTTCGAAAAGGAACAGTATTTTTCATTTCTTTTTTCTGGGGGCGGAGTAGTGCATGGGGCGGGTCAGCATGGTGAAGTGGTTGGAGAAGGCGCTGTGAACGAGGCCAACCTGAAGGAGGCTTCCCTCACCCCAAAAATGGGAACTCAAATGCAGAGGATGTGCGGGTCTCTAGGGGATATTCGATCGGGAACTCGGAGAAGTGGTTTCCAAAGGGAACCAATATTTTTTTCTATAGGGGTCAAGTTCCAAGCCTTCAGTCTTCATGGTGGAGACTTTCTTCCAAAGGAGCTTCCAAGAAGCCAGAGAACGTGAATGGTTGCTGCAAGGCGGTACCCCCCCGCCTTATTTGTTCATTTCGAAGTAAGCCAACTAAGCATTGTGCCTGAACCGGGCAGACCTTGGGCCACCGGACCTGGGATCGGCCGCCACAGCGGCTGCATGTTCAGTGCATAGCCACACCGGGCCTTGCGGCGATCGTGCGCGAGCAGCAATGCTTCGCAGTCGCACCTGAGACCCTCTTCCTTACCCAGACACGACCAGTCTGGGACTGCCAGGACGGACTGCCGAGAAACGGCCAGGGGTGGTTGACTGGGGGTCAATTGATCGGCAGTCCGACATGGCAGTCCCAGGCAGGTCGTGTCTGGGTGAGCACTGTTCCGGTTCCCCGCTGTTCGCATCGAAGAAGAACCGGTTTGAGATGCCAACCGGGTGGAATCAGGATGCCTTTCACGTACGCCGGTTTCGATGTCTCCAGGTGCACCACAAGCCTTGAAAGAAAGCGGAAAGGCCTGCACTTTGGGTGTGCGTTCCGGTGACCGCTGTGCATGTCACGACGAAAACCGCGTGGACCCGTTCCCAGGGTCGATCATGTGAGCTTGCCGTGATTTTGCGGTCCTTTCTACTGGTTCCAGTCCTCCCCAAACCAACGGAGTGAGACCGGTCCAACCTCAAGAGCCCATGAGTTTCCTACAGCCGGGCTTGACTCCGTGCCCGGACCGGGCAGGTCCCTTCGGGTCCGGACCCGGTCCGGACCCCGTGGCCGCCTCGGCCACCTCGGGCCCCCTGCGGGGTGGGTGGCAAATCGGAATGGGTGCGTGGCAGGATGGTGCCGGGCTTCTGGTGGCTTCAATGGCACTCTTGGCGCAAGGCCGGCGTTTTTCTCTTTGTGACGGGTGGGGAAATTGGGTGAGCTCATTTTCGAGCAACTTGCAAACCTGGTTAGCTAAAGGGTGCTAAACTGATTCTACAATACATGATTCTACTCCTTCCAACCTCCCAAAGCTTCAGAATGCTGCTTGCTCACCCAAGGCTCCCATGACCCAAGTCCGCCCTGTCATTCCCAGCTGCCCAAACTGAACGGACCAACGGACCGGTTTGGGCCGCCCGCACAGGGACGGGGATGGTGTTGCTTCGGTACGCAGGTGACCTGACAGGCGCGAATGAGAAGGCCAAGGCGGCCCAGGAGGCGTTGAAGGGCAACAAGGAGCGTCCAGCTTGACAGGGGGAGACCAGCTGATTGACAGGGGCAGCTGATTGCTGATCGCGGAGACCAGCTTTTTCAAGTAGGATGGTTTTCTCAGATGTTCTCTCATCCCGACATGGAGTTGCCTTTTTTTGTTTGGAACTTTCTGTGGGGTGGGTTGGCCTCAGTCCGGGGTGTTTCTTCCTGCCGTCTCTTTTTCCTGCCGGGCCTTGTTCATTGGGCCCCGCTCATCCCAAAAAATGGCTGTGGATCAAAAGCCTGGGGACCCTGCTTGACCACGATGAACGGAGACTGGGGAGGTGAACAGGGTCAACCAGGCCGGTGAAGAGATCCCTAGCTCGCCGACGAACGCCGAGAGTTCCGCGCCGCTGCGAACGCGAGCACCGGCCGGCTGCTTCCATCCCGTCCAGGAGCAGGAAGCCTCGGCGCTCCTGGCCTTGGCCCTGACCACCAGCGAAGCCAAGACAGCCTTAGGCCATCACGGTTTTTCTCCTGTGGGCGTTCTGCGGGCGTTCTGTGTTTTCGTTTTTTGTGCGAGCATGCACCAATGTGGGGTTGAACTGGGATGTTGGTTTCAACTTCGACATGCGGGGAGGTTTCGGATTGTCCAGTCCCCACCTTGGTTGTCTCACAGAATAAGATGCATTCCATGTGGAAACAGCAGTGCTTGGCATGGTTTTGCCAGAGGAAGCGTGACAATTCCCAGAAACAATTCTCTGCGGAATCTGAACCCCAAACGATTGGGCAGAGGAGACTTCCCCCAACCCACACGGGCCCGGGCCACTCAATTTGAGGAGAACTGGACTAGGGACTGCTCAGCCTGGAGAATTTTGAGAATGGGGTGCTTCATGCTTTGGTCCATGAAGGCATCCTGAAACTTGCCTCGAAGCCATCCATCCGAACTTGTTTCGCTTCGGCTCCTTCCAGGACATGGGATGGCCGCGCAGGCCGCCTTCAAGGAGGTACCACCCACCTGGCCATCCGAAGTTGGGTCGGTCGGTTTGCCACGTCACCGGATAAACCTGCAGGAGGACCTCCGAGCCGGCTGCGGGTGCTGGGACTTTCCGTTTGGGCCGACATGGGTGGGGAGCCGAAGAAGGTGGCGGTTCTTGGGTCGGTCAGCTGGGCAAGGACTTGAACACGTTGGGTGATGGGACTGGTGACCAACAGAGGTTGAATGACCCTATAGACTATCCCATAGGTACCCCACTAGGGTCCTAGTTCAGGTCACTTAACCTCTCTTAAAAAGACTGAAAGGACTGGTGTCGTTAGAGCTTTCGCCATGTGGACCCTTCCATCGCTTGGACCCTCTTCTCGTCACGTCTTCGTCCGGGCACAGGCACGGAACCTCTTCGCCGGACACCGCGTCGCCGCGAGGTGGGCGACAAGCAGATGGAGGCCTCGGCGTTGACGGCGTTGGCCAACCTGCGCTTGAGCTTGCGGGGGGGCCCGGTGTGGTCCGGGTGGAAGATCGGAGCGCTGATCTAAAAAAAGGCCTATGGCCTATGAAAAGAAGGGGAGCTCAGACGACTGACTAGGGGACCTGAATTTTTTTCGGGAAGTTCCTTACTTCACACAGGAAAAGCATAGTCGAACTGGACTTCCAGGGTATATGTGAGCCATAATATTGCCATATTGGAGCAACCATTGGTTTCTGGGTATACTGTAAGTGTTTGACAAGTAGCGCTGTTCGTGGGTCAGATGCTTCATGCTCAAGATAGTTGTTGCTGAGTCCGTTTTTTGGAGGGCTCAGACATCTCAGACGTGGAAAGGTGTTTTCTTGTTGGAAAAACATCGTGGAAAGGCGTCAATTTTTTCATACTTCCAGCAATGGAAGCGTGTATGGCAACAAAACTAGGCAAAGCCGGTGGGACCCTCCAACGTGGGGGACCCACCGACCTGTGGGGAGGGTGGCTGACTCCCCACGAAAAGCCCGTTCACTTGGCTTCAAGGACCATTTAAAAGCTGGTTTTTATTTTGTAAAATCCTTAGTGAAGCAAGGGTTATTTGGTAAAGGTAAAGGCCATTAAATCAACTGTGGATGGAAGCATAGTGTATAATGTATATTAAAGATATATACCTGATGATACCTCTCCGAATTCTATCAACTAGTAGTCCAACACTGCTGGAGACCCTCAGCTGAGTCGCCTCATTCCTTATTGGGAAGTGGCACCAGTCAGACCATTTTTTCTCTTCATCTTAATGCCGCGAACCTGAAAGGCTTTACCTAAGGCACCCAGTTTCGCCCTCTTCGTTCCGGAGCCGCGGCGTTGGTCCAACTTGCGACCGAACGAAAGGATCTCTGAACAGTTGAGCACGCCTCGTACGGCGTTGGTTCCGAAAACCCCTATCGAACGGTTTCGAGGATCGATCATGATCCACCAGTCCGGGTTTCCCAAAACCATCCAGTTACCATGAAAGCCTATATATAGCTGGTAACCAGTGGTTCCAAAGACAAGAACTGCAGACCTAAAAGATCAATCCTTATATCGTGGTAACTGGGATCCTCTGGTTTTTTGCTACCCAAAGAATCCATGCCCGGTTTGGAAGCTTTCCGGTTCAACTACGGGTGGATCGCAGCTTGCGAAGCTGCGATCAAACCAAATGAACATCCCGATGAACGCTGTGAAGGTGTTGAGTCGGGTCCAAGGGTTTTTCAGACTAGCAGAACCCGGCTTTGAGGCTCAAACACGCGTTTCCCTTTTTAAATTGAACATTTGCCATTCTCATTCATCCACCGCCAATCCCATCTTCTACCGGCCATCTGCCATCCGAAAACGGCCAAGGAAAGAACTCAGTGTCGCGGAGGCCTTGGTGAAAGACGCCTTGCGGATCTTCCATGAGCCGCTCAGATTGACAGCCGGGCCGCTGGATGAGCGGGTTCACCTCCCAAAAAACGCTCACCAGGCCGTGAGGGGGCTTTAGGAATTTCTGGAGCCCTCTGCTGGAATTTCTGCATTAGTTGTTTGGTTGACGTCGTTATCGAAGCGAAGATTTGATGGCACACCCTGCCATGAAATGATCCAATGAGGTGCAAAGAGGTCATGCAGATCGTTTCCAGCACATCGATGACCTTATGGACTCCGTATGACGAGCTCACCAGGTCCGGCAACTGGAATGATCCAGTTAGAGAAGCACACCTCTCAGAGGAAGACACCCTTCCACGAAGTGAAGACACCCTTCCACGAAGTGAAGA